GTCCTTCATGAAGATGAAGTCCGTCACATCTTTCCAGAAGACAGTGAAGAGGAGATACAAGTGGGGGATGTTGTTAGTGCACTTTGGCTTCCAAACGGCCAATATTATGATGCTAAAGTGCTACAGATAGGAGGTAAGCGATTTTCACTTTTTATAATAATAGGAATATTTCCTTACAAATTTATATAATCATTAATCAATAGGAGGGTGCCTCCAACAGTACTTATTATTTCCCTTAAGATGATACCTGTAACAGTCACCTTAGTTTATATTTCACAAAAAGGACGGATTATTTTGTACAAAATCTAGAACCTGTTTTTAGTTATGGGACATACAGGTTGGGGGACAACCTGCTTGGAAAGTTTTAAACCATGATTTTCAGTATCCTTAGTTTACCATGCTGTTCATATTAATTGTTGCTTCCTTTTTTGTCAACTTTCTGATTGCTTTCATTTAACCCAATCAAAGTGAAAGGAAAGATTTCCATATAACCCCATGCATTAATTATGCATCCATTTCTTTAAGACTAAATCTAAAAGTTTCTTTGCAACACTCCATAATTAATGTATGGGGTAATATCGAAATCTTGCTCAGTGAAACAACTGTCTGTCTGTCATCTCTAGCTTTCAAGTGGGGTACATTCTGTGTGTTTTATTGTACAAACTCTAGTATGGGGTATCACCTTGGACTGTGGGGAAAATTCTTTTCAAAACAGGGCCAAATTTGGAGTACTGGATGGTAAATATCCACCCAAAAATACCCAACTACCCCCTTCTCTGACTTGCCTTGTTTGAATTAGTTATTTAAATGAGAACCGTCCTGAATTTTAAAAAAAGATAAGTGTTGAAATGGTTTAGCACATGATACGACAACAATTACCTTCATCTTTCATTTTAGGTGATAAGGAAGAGCTTATGAAGGAAAGAATACGTCTAGAAAAGGCAAAGAAAAAGGGAAAGCAACCAGAAAAAAGTGCAGCAAAGAAGCGCAAGCATCCAGATGATAGCAACACAGAGTTGCAGCAGTGTGAGAAGTCCAACAAACGAAATGATGACAAGGAAAATGAGCAGAAATCCAAAGAAAAGGAAGCAAAAAAGAAGAAGAAAGAAGAAGAAAAACAAAGGCAGCTACTGTTACTGCAGACAAGAAAGTCACAAGCTGCTGCACGATGGGCAAGTAGCAGTCACCAAATGGAAAAAGAGGTGACCATTCTTGGTGAGGTGAACCCTACTCCTA